AAAAAAAAAAAAAAAAAGTCCGTCAGGTGTGTTTCACCTGGGCAGCTTATGTTGTCTGAGGCTTACTGTTTTGCACGCTGATTTCAGTTCTCCTGGGAGGTAACTGTGTATCAGGCAATGTCAGGAGCTCTCCAGTTTTGGCTCTGGTGTCCTTAAGTAGTTGGCTTATCTGAGGCTCTCTGTGGACCACCTCCACTTGTCAGCTATTTTGCATCTCCCTTGTGGTTGCCTGGTCTTACTCCAGAGTCATCTGAAGAGTCTTCATGGTGCAGGCCAGTTAATTTAGCTCAGGATATTTCTCCCTTTAATTAGAGGTTTCGCTTTCAGGCACTCACTGTGGGGAAATTAGTCTCTGCTTCAAAGCCAACTCCTCAGTCTCTACCCTAGCCTCCAATTCTAGTTCCCCATAAAATGGCCTGCTGCAGTTTCAGACTGAATTCAGTTGGTTGCCTTTTCTGTAAGGGCAGTTTCAGTAGCCTGGGCTCAGTGGGTTCAATTAAAAAAAAAAAATTCTGGTGAGCACTTTCCCTTCCCAGCGCCAGCAAGGGTCTTAAACTTTTCCTTCAGTTCCCAAACAATAGTCCCTCAGAGTCCTATTCTTGTTCTGTCGTCCTGTGAGCTGTTCTCCCTGCTCCCTCAGGACTGTGCCCTGCGGGGGATATCTGGGACTCCAGTGGGCCGAAATAGCTTCTTTCCTGTAGGGGTTGGTGCTCCTAGCCTGCAGGAGAGGTAGGCATGCTTTGACCCTCCTTTTCCAGATCTGGTTGGCTGATCTCACAGAGTGCTCATTTCAAATTCTCTACAATGCAGGCACAAATCCCAGCTTTCGCTGGTCTGTCTACCGAATGCAAGGCAGGGAGGCAGATGCTCGTTCAGCAATCAAAAACTCAAAAATGCACAAAGCAACAAACAAGCAGAGAATCCGCCCTCCGAGGTTCTTGTGTCCCTGCAACTTGGTACCAGCAAGAGGGATCACAAAGTAAATCTTATGCAGGTCTGCTGCACAGCTGAACACAGGTAAAGTTGGGGCAACTCCTTACGCACTATGCTGGCTCCTCTCAGAGCAGGTCAAAAATCTCCGATCCATCCCACGAGCAGCTCTGGCAGATGGAGACCCAGTCCACTGCGCAGGCAGCTCCGGTTCCTTTCTGGCCCTGGAAGGGCTCTTTCCCTTCCCCATGCCACACAGTTCAAATGCTTTCTGGGGCTCTACACAATGCCTTGCAGGAAAGCAGAAGGTCCCTGTAGGTGGCTACTCAGTGTATTCCTCTGGCTCCTTTATATCTGGAAGCCATACACTGTGGGACAGCCTTTCCAGGGTCTGCACACTGGGTGAAAGACTCCTATCCTAGCTGCCCTCATTAGACGCGCTGTTTCACTGGGAAGGCGAGGTCCCCTCCTCACAGGCACACTGTTCCCCTGGCTCCCTCTGCCGGCCCTGCAGAGGCTCTCCTTCTCTTCTCCTCCAGTCCGGGTCTGAGATCCCAGCTTTTGAATGAAAGTCCACACTCCCAAGTGGAGGGAGCTTTGCAGCCTCTAACTCTAGGGCCTTGGAGCCCAGCACTGGCTTCAGGCGGAACTCCCCCTTTCTATGGCCCCTCTCTTACTAGATTCTATGATGTTTCTTCAGTGCTCCTTACTTGAAATATATCCACTCAGGTATATTTCTCTTGTTTTTCCCAGCTGGTTACGCAGTATTTTTGTGGTAGATCGTGTCCATGGCTTGGAGCAAGGGCACTTTGCTTCTTGTCAAGAGTTCTGCCATCTTCCCTCTCCCCACAAAAATCTTACGTGAACAGAATTATATCAAATGACCTTTTCTCATTTAACTCATGACTTTTCATTGAATTTAGTGGAATAAATTACATTGACAAACTTCTTAATACTGAATAACTACAAAAATCTTATGTGAACTCTCAGCATACCAATTAAACACCAGTGTAGCTGCTTTATTTGAAAGCCCCTCTTGCTCACACCCTGCAGCAGACCCTGAAAGAGTATAAAAACTACTGTGCTGTAGAAGAGAGCTATGCAGGACACTGACAGGCACATGTCAAAACTGAAGAAACAGCTATCCAACCTCTCTGCTTTCCTGAAATTATTTCTGAGTTATAATCAAAACTAAGCTAAGGATCAGGAATAGAAAAAATTACCTGTTTTTCCTCAGGAGGCAGTTTACTCCATTCATTGCCTAACATTCTTGTGATTTCTGGAAATGGGACTTCTGGTCTCTTTGCTCGAAGCTGTTCTCTACGTTCATTCATGAACCGAACATATCCTGTAAGGGGAGATTTGGGTGCATTGCTGTCTCGAAGAGGTTTCTTCCTCTTTCTTCCTTTGGACCACCCTCCTCGTTTACTTCTTTGCTATAACAAGATAAAATAAAAACCAAAACCAAATTACAACAACAAAAATGTCCCCAAATAACACCAGAGTTGCATTTTCTTGCTATTAGGACCCTGGATATTCAAAGCTCTCCATATCTGTCATACGTACAAATAACTGCAATGCATTTTTCAAGAGTGGACTGCAGGTGGTTCACCTATAGACCCTTTTATGTACCACACTACAAACTGATGCACTAAGGACATATTCTAGTGCTAATCTCAAGAGATGAGAATAAGGGGTGTCATGATCACTCAAGCTTTGGCTTTCATGTATACTTAACAAGTCCTGGCTCCCAATAGGAAAATTCTAAAGAAATGCAGCATATACATAGCACTGTGCCAGAAAAGTAGAAATGTCACAGTAGATCAGAATAAGATGTAACACACACTGGGCAAGCAAAGAGACAAGTTGTAGTATAGGGATAAAATTTATTCATGAAACCCTGGCCGGTATGGCTCAGTGGACTGAGTGTCATCCTGTACACTGAAAGGTCACTGGTTTGATTCCCGGTCAGGGCTCATATCCAGGCTGTGGGTCCAATCCCCAGCTGGCATACATGTGGGAGGCAACCGATTGTTGTTTCTCTCACATCGATGTTTCTTACTCTCTTCCTCTCTCTTTAAAAAATCAATAAAAACATATTTAACGAAAATTATTCATGAAGGGTGTTTCTCATTGACACCACTCAAAGGTCAATTTCCCATAGTAGATAGCATACAGATTTTTAAGTTAATATCTAAGTTTTAGAAAAGTTTCAGTAAATATATCTAAAATGAAGAGTAGTTTTTTGGCTTGATGATTTATTTTATAAAGTCAGAGGTCTTTATATATTATTAGTTAAATCAAGATTAAATCACCTCTAAATAAGTATAACAAAAGGACTGAGGTACCCATGATGTTTTACCATAGCCCTTTTCCTTGTCCTTTTAAAATGAAATGCAAGGGACATATTTTTGCTTCATAATTTTACAAATACATATAGGCAATCAGTATAATGTTTTATGGATACAAGAATTCTTATTTCAGAGAAGAGAAAGGTAAGCAAAATAGGACAAAACAACCTAACATTAATTACATTACTATACTCCTCTAAATATATGTAAAATGGTACAGTAACCCACCATCAGGCAAATGGTGTATTTAGTATCAGTTTTCTGTTCTTTTTTAATTCTAGTAACATTAAAGCTACTAAGGAGTTTAAGATGTTTGAGAAGCTTTAAGCATTCATCATCATAACCTTTAAGAATGTCAACATGAAAAAATCAGTTCTTTTAAAATGAGAAAAAAGATAAAAATTAATGATGGTACTTTGATGGCTAAAAAGAGTGCCTTAAAACATAGTCAATGTAATTAGTCATTTTTGAGTAACATTGAAAGTCCAATAAGGGAATGACTATGCAGGCCAATATGAAACCTCTGTGTGATTTAAAGATGTGTCCTATGGAAGGTGGAATGATTGGTAAGTAGTGTGAATCTTTTGGGCACATATGACTCCATGCTGTAGGGCCTGGGGAAAAGTGTGTGGTCTTGAACATTGGCATGTGGACTTCTCATTACTTGTTTAATTAAATAACTCATTCACTCATTTAACAAACATTTGTTAAACATCTAATATGATGTAGGTATAAATTTCTTAGGAAAAAATAGTCTTCCTGTCTTTGTCATTAAAACCATTAATATGATCCTACATAAAACAAGAAATACAAAACATAAAATACTGAAGAATGTAAGAAAGCCAGACGATGGACACTTACTGCCTGCTTCTTTAGAAGCTTAAGAGACCAGTAAAACAGAAGAGATATACTTCAGCTTACCTCATCTTCATGCCTCTGTTCACTGCCTTCTGCTGCGTTTGAAGGCTCATTCTGAAGCAATTGACCTTGGGAGAGACCCTCCACAAATTCTGGGTTGTTGGTAGATGATGTGGCTCCACTACTATATGGAATCTCTGGGTGGCTTAGCCTAAAAAATAATATGCAGAAGAGTAACAGTTCAGTATCAACAGCATCAATCACTCCTATTTATCACGGCTGAAGACAAATTTCCCTGTTCGTAAAACCAAAGGCCAGTCCTTGAGTTAATTCCCCCACCTCATTCTGTGTAAATGTAAATAGTATCTCCAAAGCAGTTACAGGGCATTTAAAAAATGATTTCAGTGCTTGATTGAACCACATCAGTTCCATGAAGAAGTCTACTAAAAACAGCTATAATCTTCTTTTCCCAAAATATTACCTCTCCCTATCAACATACAGACTTCACAATTTAGTTCTGAGCACGCAACAGAGCCTTTTATATGCTATCTTTCATGTATCCCCACTGTAAAGGGAAAATACTATTAATGGAAAAGGAGAATAGGAATGGGAACTGTAGATGAAGTTTGCCCCCAGCACAAGAGAGAGTTCTTATGGTATATTCCATAAGCTATTTCTTCTTGGATTACAGAGTTTATTGACAACCAGATCATTTACAAATGATTATCAAGTTCAGTAAGTTCAAATATAAATGTTAATGAATCAGACATAACAGATAAATAAATCAGAACAGATATGATTCTTTTCTGCTCCTACCATTTGTTCCAGATGAGTCAGCAAACCAGATCTCACAAGAAGATACAGATGATGGCTGGGTCTTAAGACTGACTGATCGCCTGGCCAGCGTGGCTCAGTGGTTGAGCATCGACCTTTGATTCAGGAGATCGAGGTTTGATTCCCAGTCAGTGCACATGTGCAGGTTGTGGGCTTGATCCCCGGTGGGGGGGCGGGCAGGAGGCAGCCAATCAGTGACTCTCTCATCATTGATGTTTCTATCTCTCTCTCCCTCTCCCTTCCTCTCTATGAAATCAATAAAGATGTATCAAAAAAATAAAAAAATGAAAGACTGACTTACCCTATCACGCATGGATAAAGGAGGTTTTCTGGGGGGAGGTGTGGGACAGGTGAAGGAAGATGTGTAACAGGCTAATATTCAGTCTTTGTTCTGAAAGAATGTATATTTCATAGGGTTACAGGCACATAATTATAATCGAATATAAAATAAGTACTGAAACACAGGTTTGTAAAATGTGCTGTAAAGGCACGGTAAGAGGGTATGATACATTTTATATGCGTGGAGAGGATGTTAAGAGAGATTTTACAGAGGAGATCTTAAAAGATGAATAGGCATTCATCAGGTAAACAATGTCATTACAAGCAGAAAGAACATGATAAAACAGGAGAAAGGGAACCTTATCAAGAGGCTACAAGTGAGAGACAAGGGCAGCCAGGACAGAGAATAGTGGAAAGAAAGCTAGAAGATACTTAAGAGGTAGAATGGAGAGAACTTAATGATTGAATATAGTGAAGGAAAAAGAAGAGCCAAAGGTAATTCTGAGGTTTCCAGACTGTGTGATTACATACTATGATCCAAGGTAACAATTGCCGTGTGTGTAAGAAAGACAGACAGACAAGAAAATGGTAAGTTTGAAACACTTAAGGCATAATTAAGTGGAGCTGTCCCACAGACAACTGGAAACATGCCCTGACAGAACAGAAGTGAGAAAAAGCAATGAGACAATTTGAGAGGCATTAGCCTATGAAAATAAAGGGAAGTACTAGACATTTTCCAGAAAGATAGTGAGAAGAAATGTCAGGACAGAACTCTGATGGAATAATATCATTTTAGGAACAAGTGCTAGAAGAGACTGGGAAAGACTAGAGAGGGCATTAAGAGACTTAGGACAGAATAGGAAGACTTTTAAGAAGGGATTATTCTAAAGAACATATATGCATAGCCCATGAACACACACAATAGTGTGGGGAAGNAGGTCCAGAGACATGGAAGCATGGAACAGACTGACAGATCTCAGAGGGAACCGACAGTGGGGGAGAGATTAACCAGAGGACATACATGCGTAGCCCATGGACACAGGCAATGGTGCAGTGAAGGCCTCGGGTGGGGCGGGGGCTGGGTGGAGGGGGGCAAAAGAGGGAAAATGGGGGACATTTGTAATACGGTCAACAATAAATTTTTTAAAAAAGGAAGTGGTTATTTATTTATATTTTTAATTTATCTTTATTGTTGAAAGTATTACAGGTGTCCCATTTTTCCCCCCATTGGCCCCCTCCACCTCGCTCCCACCACCTCCCCAGGCCTTCATCCCATTATGGTCTGTGTCCATTGGTTATGCATATATGCATATAACTTCTCTGGCTAATCTCGTCCCACCCTCCACCTCCCTTCCCTCTTCCTTCTGAAATATGATCGTCTGTTGCATGCTTCAGTGTCTCTGGATCTATTTAGTTCATCAGATTCTTTTGCTCATTAGCTTCTTCTTAACGAATACCCTTCAACATTTCATGTAGTACTGGTCTGGTGGTTAGCTTTTTCTCATCTATCAAGTTCTTTATCTGACCTTCAATTCTAAATGATAGCTTTGCTGGGTAGAGTAATCTTGGTTGTAGGTTCTTGCTTTTCATCATTTTGAATATTTCTTGCCACTCCCTTCTGGCCTGCAAGGTTTCTGTTGAGAAATCAGCTGACAGCCGAATGGGTGCTCCCTTATAGGTAACTGCTTTTCCTTGCTGCTTTTAAGATTCTCTCTTTGTCTTCAACCTTTGGCATTTTAATTATGATGTGTATTGCTGTGGTCCTCTTTGGGTTCCTCTTGTTTGGGACTCCTCTGTGCTCCCTGGACTTGTAAGTCTATTTCTTTCACCAGGTAGGGGAAGTTTTCTGTCATTTTTTCAAATAGGTTTTCAATTTCTTGCTCTCCTTCTTTTCCTTCTGGCACCCCAATAATATGAATGTTGGATTGCTTGAAGTTGTTCCAGAGACTCCTTAGGCTATCTTCATATTTCTGGATTCCTTTTTCTTTTTGCTCTTCTGGTTGGGTGTTTTTTGTTTCCTCATATTCCAAATTGCTGATTTGATTCTCACTGTCCTCTATTCTCCTGTTGATTCCCTGTAAATTAATCTTCATTTCAGTTCGTGTAGCTTTCATTCCTAATTGGTACTTTATTATGTCATTGATGATCTCACTAGTTTCCTTAATAGTCTTACTAAGATCCTTGGGCATCCTTATTACCATTATTCTGAACTCTGTATCTAGTAGCTTGCTTGGTTCTATTATCATTTAGTTCCTTTTCTGGAAATTTCGTTGTTCTTTCCTTTGTGACATGTTTCTTTGCCTCCATATTTTGGCTGCTTCCAGGTGTTTGTTTCTATGTATTAGGTAGAACTGCTATGTCTCCTGGAATTTGTAGAGTGGCTTTGCATAGTAGGTGTCCTGTAGGGTCCAGTGGCTCAGCCTCCCCAGTCACCTGAGCTGGGACTTCTAGGTGCTCCCCTGTGTAGGCTGTGTGCACTGTCCTGTTGTAATTGAGCCTTGGTTGCTGTTGGCGTCACTGGGAGGAATTGACCCCCAGGCCAATTGGCTGTGAAGACCAGCTGCAACTACAGCCAAAGAGCTGCTATGCTGGAGACACCCCTATGGAGCAGGATTTACTTCAGTGGATACTTTGGTGTTAACTGAGTGTGCCCCTTGAGTGTATCACTTGTGGATGTGGTAGGGTTGTAATCCAGCTTGGTTAAGTCTGACCACCAGGTGCACTGTCTCTGGGGCCTCCCGGGAGGTGCAAAGTCAGCCTCTGCCTGTGCCTTGCCCAGGGCCATCCAGCATGAGCTACACAGCAAACTGTAGTTGGCTGCTACTTGTGCTGGGCTTGGCGGTGTCCAGGAGAGGCCAAGCTATGAACCAATGCAGGCTACCACTAATGCCAGGCGTGGGGCCACTTATCAAGATGTATGGGGCATACTAAGGACAGCTGCTGCTTGTTTGAGAGATTTTAGGAAGTCCTTAGCATGATGCTGGAGAGGCCACTTGCATAGAAAAGCCACTGGAAGTGGCTTGGATGAGATTGCAAGTAGGGAGGGGTGGGGTCTCTGGGAATCACCAGGGCTTGGCTGAAGATGTGAGTCAGGTGCTGGAGATTCAAATATGGTGCCTGCCTGCTGGCTCTGTTGGGGGAGGGCTTGACAAAGGAGCAATGGCCTCTGCCAGGTCTTCTGTCTGGGAGAAAGATGCCCTTCCACCTCTCGCCCTGATTTCAAGCAAGTTAGTTCTTCCCCAAATTTCCTAGGTTCCTTTGAAACTGCTGCCCAGTGCTGGAGCTCAGAGGGAGCAGGTCTGAGTGAGTCTGTGCACCGGTCCTTTAAGAGGAGCTGCCTGGGACTCCCCATAGCCTCGTTGTCACTCAGACACAGTCCCAGCTGGTTTTCACAGCCTGAAGTTGTGGCAGCTTCTTTTCCCGGCCCTGGAACCCTGGGCTGGTGGCCTGATGTGGGGCTGGGACCCCTCACTCTTCCGGGAAACCTCCACCGCTGAGATAATCCTCCAGGTTTTAAACCGTGGCACCTGGATGTGAGACTGTAGCAGAGTCTCTGTGATTCAGCCCCAATCTGCCTGTGTCTCCATCCCTCCTACCTTTCTTGTTGCTTATTAAGTTCCCTGGTTGTAGGACTTCTGTCCAGCTAGATTTTAGGAGGCTCTGAGTGATGGTTGTTTTGTATTTTAGTTGTAATTTTGATGTGGTTGTGGGAGACAGCGGGTACAGTGGTTACCTGCGTGACCATCTTGTTGTCTCCCAAAGGGGAAGCGGTTATTAACCAAGTAAAACGTTGTAAATGTCAAGTCTGATAGGCTAAAAAGTATCCGTTAAATTGCTGGCAATTTTAGGGGGTAGTTTTAGTGAAATTATGGAAATAAAACCAGATTACAGTGGACTGAGAAATGAATGAAAGCAGATGCAGACTGTTCTGAAAATGAAAGAATTTATACTTTCCTGACCCTTGCAATGAAATTCCAGTTCGATCTTGGCAACTTTGTTTTCCATTATTTCAATCATTTTGGATGTCTTAGGCAACTTGTTCTCTCTCTGTCATTCTCATTTCAACTGTGTCATCAAGTTTTAAGCTACTAACTCTTGCACATTCCTATTTCAGGAAAACATGAGAACTATGTTTGAAAAAGAACACTTATCCTATGAACCCCTGACTGAAATGGACAGGAAGCAGAAGGGAATGGTCAGAGGTATCAAATGCCTTGGAGACGACAAGCTGGATAAACAGAAAAAGAAGAGAAAAAAGGGCTCTTTTGTTCATATGAATGAACTGTCCATGCTCTTAGCTAAAGCCAACAACCCTTCCATTTGTGCTCTGGATCCCACACCTTCTAGCCTACCTACTTGAAGACATGTTTTCGGCAATTTTGCCCTCTCTAGCACCACCAATTCTTTCCTCTCTACTGGATTGGCCTAATCAGCACACAAATAAGGCATTATTACTTTTATCTTAAAACAACACACTCAGACACCCACCCACTCTTGATCCTATTTCACTTTTCCCTTTTCCTTTTATAGAATTTTTTATACTTATTGACTTCACTGGAAACAACTGTTTATACTTACTGTCCTCAATTTCTCTCCTTTCATTCTCTCTTAAAACCAACCAAAAGGAAATAGTGCTTAAAACTCTTGTCAAGGTCACCAATGACCTCCACACTAAATCTAATGTCATGTCTCAGTCCTCATCTTATCTGATCTTCCAGAAGTATCTGACCTAGCTGATCTCTTCCCCTTGCTTTTGCTTGTTTTCCAGGACCCCCCAGACCTCTGGTTTTTCTGCTACCCTTTTAGCTACCCCCTTTAGTCTTTGCTGAGTCTCCCTCTTCTGCCTGACTTCTAAATACCTAGGTATCCCAGAGCTTAGGCATTAGAGCTTTTCTCTTTTCTATCTACACAAAGCTCATATCTTCAGTGATCTCATCCAATCTCATGACTTTAGGTGTTAGCTATATGTACACTGATGACTCCCAAGTTTCTTTTTCTAGTCTAGATATTCTCCAACTTCAGAGCCTGATTATCAAGCTCCCTATCTGACATCTCTGCATGGTTATCTAATAAGCATCTCAAGTTTAAAATCTCCAAAACTGAGTTCCTAAAATTCCTTCCCATACCTGCTTAGTTTCCCCCATCTAAGTTAATTCCATCCCTTTAGTCTCTTAGGTCAAAACCTTGGAGTTGTATTTGACTGCTTTTTTCTCCCTTCTTACATCTTATCTGGTCTTTCAGGCAAATCCTGTTTGGTTTACCTTGAAAATGTATCTGGAATTCTATACTTCTCACTACCCTTCATTCCCATGATCTTTGAAACCCACTCCTGTGAGGTTTTTGCCCCATGACTCCACCAAAAATACTTTTATCAAAGTCACTAGCGATATTCTTTAAGTCATTTCACACCTGAATTATTTCAGGAGCCTAACTGGTCTTGTTTCAACCCCTGCTCCTATCACTTTATTCTCAACTTAATAGTCACAGGGATCTTATTAAAAAAACAAGTCAGGTAATATTATTCTGCTCAAAATTCTCAAGTGCTTTTCTGTCTCAGAGTAATAAAGCGCTCACTTTGACCTCTAAGATCCTATAAGATCTAGTCCTTTGCTACTCAAGTATGGGCCTCAGACCAGCAGCAAAGCCATTTCTGGCAACTCATTAAATGTAGAATCTCTCATTCTAACTAAACTTTCTGACTCAGAACCTATATTTCAATAAGCTCTGTAGTCAGTTCATATGTACAATTCATATGTACATTACAGTTTGAGAAGCACTGATGTAGCCCTCAGTTACTCCTCTCCCCCGTAGCACACTCTGCTCCAGCCACAATGACCTCTTGGCTATTTCTAAAAGGTAGAAACACACCTACCTCAGGACTTTGGTATTCATTCCTCCCTCTACCTAGAATAATCTTCCTCATAACTACAGGCTAACAACCTTACTTTCTTCAGGTCTTTATTCAAATCACTTTCTCATTAAAGCCTTTCTGGGCCATCTTATTTAAAACTGTACCCCAAATCCTTCCTACCCCTACTTTATTTTTTAATCTATAGTTCTTATCATCATAGTATGTATTTTACTTATTTATCCTGTTTTTTTGTCTGATTTTCCGGGTAGGATTTGAGCTCTACAGGGGCTGGGATTTATGTCTGTTTTGATTATAGCTGACTATATGGTACCCAGAACAGTGTCTGACATAGTAGACACTCAGAAAAGTTTTCACTGAGTGAACTGAATTTAGGAATAGACATAGTTTAGCAAAGTCTTAGAGAATTACGCTGAATAGTGCAGTGAGTGGCAGATATTAATGAGGTAGACAATGAATTTGAAGAAAGGAAACAGAATTACAAAGTGAACTCTATTTTTAAAGAGCTCTAAAGAATATTAAAATAATTTTAAGGATTAGCTAGCACTTCAATCTACTACTGAATACATTTCTTCTTTGGCAAATAACTTCTACATAGAAAAGATAAAATTCAAGTATAACAGAGATTTTCATGGGAAGAAGGACAAGCTATTAGCCCTTTACTTTTTAAAAAATTTAATTTTTTCCATCACCTTTTATACCATCCTCCACCTCCACCTATTCTCCTCTACATCCAAAATCACCACTCTGCTGTCCATGCCCATGAGTTCTCTAGCCCTTTTCTATATGCCTTTACTTATCTGTCCAAAATAGCAAAGAAGGGAGATAGGAGAATGTAGATGAAAGGAGCCACATGCTAACCTGACTAGCTCAGGAACCGCCTGTGTGGCAGCTTTGCAAACTCAGAGACCTAAAGTAACCACAAAGGATGATCTGAAATTAAAACTTTTAAAATTAAAAAGCAGTTTATGGTGGGTAATCATGTCCTAGGCTGGTATCTGCCCTGACAAAGGTCAATATTGACCTTAACTGAGCCTGTCTATTGTCTTTTTGCATCTACAACATGTTTAACATATCGTTGGAATGTTGAAGTAATTTCCTTTTTCTGGACTCCTCAAAGCACAATGCAGTGACCACAAATCCCCTTATTGTTATTGAGTTGTTGACTGTTAACTATTCTGCACCCAGCTAAGTAAAAGAAGTGTGTCTATCATTTTACTTTTTATCCAATCCCAGAGGTTTCCCAGCTTTGCTTTCTCCCGCCTCCCTAATCTATCACCAAAGGATTTCATGTAACCCACTTCCGTCTCCCCCTTTGATTGTAATGCATTAAACAAGATGCAAAACTGCCATTCTCTTGAGCATTATCTCAATCCATTGAGATTCTGCTTCTCAGCATGTGTCGACAGTTTGGCTCAAATAAACTCACAAAAATTCTTCACAAGTTTGAACATTTCTTACATTAAAAAGAATAATAAGGAAAAAAAGTCAGCTACAGATCCTAGGCAACCTGAAGAAAGAACTGTATTTTAAAAATATGAGCTTAGGCCCAGCCGGTGTGCCTGAGCAGTTGAACATTGACCTAGGATCCAGGAGATCGCAGTTCGATTTCTGGTCAGGGCACATGCCCGGGTTTCAGGCTCAATCCCCAGCAGGGGATGTGTGGCAAGCAGCTGATCAATGACTCTCTCTCATCACTGATGCTTCTATTTTTCTCTCCCTCTCTCTTCCTCTCTCTGAAATCAATTAAATAAAAAAAAATAAAAATAAAGAACCACCTGTTTACTTGCTTAAAAAATAATAGAATAAATAAAAAATCGGACCTTTGGGGGGAAAAATTGTTTTAATATCTGTGGCAATTCAAACTTAAAATATATTTCATTTTTAGAGCTAACCCTGTGGCAGGTATTTCCTTAAAGGTGACTATGTAATTCTCTTAACAGGGAGTTGCTGATGTTTGCTAGATCCCCACATATTGCTGCTGTTCACAGGAGCCAAAGCACTGCAAGTGACAGCCGAATGCAGATTATAATAGCTCTTACTCTTTTTGCAAAGTGCAACAACCTACCTTCTATTCTTATGATATAAAACTGCCTCTTTAGCCCAGCTGGGCATGGCTCAGTGGCTGAGCATCAACCTAGGATCCAGGAAATCATGGTTCGATTCCAGGTCAGGGCACTTGCCCCAGCTGCGGGCTTGATCCCCAGTGGGGGCGTGCAGGAGGTACTCGATCAATGACGACTCTCATCATTGATGTTTCTATCTCTCTCCCTCCCTCTCCCTTCCTCTCTCTGAAATCAATAAAGATATATTTAAAAAGTTAATAAATAAATAAAACTGGTTCTTTGGCACCTATACTTTGTCAGAAGCTTTGTTTTGAAGCCTAGGCAGAGGCCCAGTGTTCCAAAGCAGCTGCTTACCCAGTTGTAGCCAGATCACTACTCTCCTTGGAGCCATCTTCATCTGCATAAAGGGGAGGCAGGGTGGAACTAGTCATCAAAGTTTCCATCTCTCTAGAAGGAAGAGAGAATAAAAAATAATTAACAGCTTAATTAATTCCAGTTCAAGTTCCACTAATTTAAGAGCCAGCCTTCCTTTATCACAACAGCAGCAGAATAGAAACTAGTCTGAATATTAATCTTCTTGACTTGGACACATTCAAATAGTCAGGTATATACCCCAAAACCATAAAAGGACTAATTTTACTGGCTTCTTTCTAAAAGTCTCCTTACAAATAAAGACTCAGCACCTCAAAAAAAGGGGAGAGATGAAGTGTCTTTTCATTCACTATGACAACACCACCCTCTCTGAGTGTTTCACAGACATCTAGTTATGGTTGGAGCGTCCGCCTGTGGACTGAAGGGTCCTGAGTTCGATTCTGGCCAAGGGCAGGTATCAGTTGCAGGCTTGATCCCTGAGGGGTGCGTGAGGGAGGCAACCAGTCGATGTGTCTCTCTCACATCAATGTCTCTCTCTCTCTCTTCCTCTCTTTGAAAAGCAATGAAAAAAATATCCTCAGGTGAGGATTAAAAATAAAAATAAATAGATCACATAAACAAAGAAAGTTCAGGGAACACACATTTCTTCCTTTTTCTTTTTAACCTTGTATTTGTTTTACTCAACCTATATGGCTTCAGATGTGATTTTTGTAGTGTTATGAATAGTCAGGTCCCTAAGAAATGAGTAATAAAATGGGTGGAAGGTTAGTGGCCAAGATTAACAAAAGAAGGAAATGAGGAAATGGTCCAGTGAAACCCAAAGGCCTCTAAACTAGTCTAATAAGTTGGAAAATAAAATGATTCCCAAGAATATGACTGGGATCCTGCAAGACTGCTTTCAAAGACTGGGCCTTGAAGGGGTGATTCAAATGATTCATGGCTACCAAGCCACTGATTGCCAAAAGATCTTCAGGTGTCTGTGCCTCATAATGTCCCAGCACAGAGGTCACACTGAACTTTGAAATTCCATACAAAGTAATTACGAAATGTAATGAATGCTGCTCTGGAAGGGGAAAGAAGAGAAATATATACAAAAGCAAGGCAATATACAAGCTTGATTCTCCACTGGTGTTTACATAAATAGGTATGTCATGCACCTGGAGGGCTGGAAAAATGGTATTACCTTAGGGTTTACACTTTGAAACCAGGTCTGGACTATAGCTTTGGAAATCCAAAAATTCCCTCTAACACCAACCACTCACTGAAAAAAACTGATGTATGAAACAGAGTACCAATTTAAAATATTTTAATAATGATTACGAAAACTGTAATGAGAATTATATTAAGCACATAAGATATATATTGGCCAATCGACACATCTCTCCTTGTAGTAATATGGGGAGTCAAATCATAATCAAAACATTGCTTTGGTCAATATGGGGCCAGAACAAAGGAAAGTAGGTAGAGCTTAAGAAATGTTCCTCAACTAAGAGTGCTCTAGTAACCTTTTCCGACAAAACGAATGATCTTAACAATAAGACTATGTTATTCCCAATGTGTTGGACAGTGCTGGAAGCATAATTTGTACTTGTTTTCTGGGGTTGGTACTTTTCATGTGCCCTTTCCTTACTTTACATATGTTAATTCTTACTTCATTAAGTCATCTTACTTGAAGACACACTATATTCCCTCCCCAACTATACACTTCAGAGTTGAGAGGTGGAATTCTACCCTCATTTTCCATACTACAACCCTTGTGCAAAACTTCCTTTCTTTAAAAATCATGTCACTTGGCTATACCAACCTCAAATTCAAAAATCTTTGACCACTATCTCCTATTATTCACTCTCTCAATTACTTCTACTACAACTGATCTTTAATTACACAAATCTCTATTCATTGACCATTGATTTTGTCTTTTCTGTCCAGCTTACATTCCACAGCTACATTTCAAATATTCTTCTGCCAACACTTTCAATTCCTTTGCTCTACTATCTTTATATACCCCAGATGTAGATCGGCTATGAGTTTTATACTTTAGGAAAAAAAATTATTGATTTTAGTCAGAGAGGATAGGAGAGAGAGGGAGGGAGGGAGAGAGAGAAAGAGAAACACAGATGTGACAAAGAATCATCAGTTGGTTGCCTCCTGCACGTGCATTGACTGGGGATTGAACCAGCAACCCTGGCATGCGCCCTGACTGAGAATGGAACCAGTGACCTCTTGGTGCATGGGATGATGCTCAAATAACGGAGCCACACCAGCCAGGGGAGTCAACTCTGAGTTTTAGCTCAAGGTGGTGTTGGAGAAAAATCACAAAACAAAGGGTGCTACTATAAATTTATGATACCCAACCACAACAGGGCCCTCAATGCTCTGAGCAGTTATTCTACATGTTCTTAGAATATTTCCTAAGGGCCACAGCTCTGTCAGACTTTTCCAACCAACTGAAATCTAATTCATCCAGACCCTCTCACTTAGCCTCATCTTTTCACACTCCCCAGACTCACACCAAATGCTAAATCGCTTTATTTTTTTAAACATATAATTCACACACCATAAAATTCGCCCCTTTAAGTATATAATTCAGTGTCTTTCATACATTCATAAGATTGTATAGCCAACATCATAACTGATTTTATAACATTTCATCACCCCAAAAAGAAACTCAGTATCCATTAGCAGTCACTCTCCATTTGCCCCTTCTGCTAGACCCAAGTAACCACTAATCTGCTTTCTGTGTCTATGGATATATTTATTCCGGATACTTCATATCAATGAAATCAAACACTATATGGTCTTTTGTATCTGGCTTTTCACTTATCATAGTTTCTAAGTTCATCACATTGTAGTAGGCATCAGGGTTTCATTCCTTTTCTAAAAAATGTCTTTGAAAAAAGTTGATTTTAGAGAGAGGAAGGGGGTGGGGAGGAGAAAGAGAGAGAGAAAGAGACACATCAATGTGAGAGAGAAACCTATGGCCTGTTTTACCCAGTAAGCTTTATTTAACATCTTCTGTCCAAGCATGTTTTTTTCCATAGTTGGGGGCCATTGATGCAAGGAAGCCCATCTGCAAGCAAAGATAGGACCCGACCATTCTGCTTGACCAGGGTTGCAGCCCCAAAACATCCTGTTATTCTGACAAGTTTTCGCGGTCGGAGAATGCAACACCGGCCCCACATTGTACCCTATCTTAAGTCCCTATAAAAGAAAGCTTAACTCCACTTTCAGGGCTGACAGCATACTGCTGGTCAGCCCACAGTGAGAGAATGCTTCAATAAAAATTTCTAAAAGCTCTCAGAGTGCTTTTTGCCCTGGTTCCTCTCTGCATTGATCTAATAATATATTGGTGCTGGAGGGGAACCCGAGGGACTTTCCCACTTCCTGGCTGCTGATTCTCCAGTCCACACCAGCCTTTGGTCAAACTCTGTGGTGAGTAGGTTTCTATTTTCCCCAACCCTCTGATTTGCCATCCTCCCTTTTAAGTCCTTGTACAGGGCCAAGGGTGTTTGCTCATTTCTTGGCTTCAGTCTCAGGGACCTAGTCCCTAGTTGTCAGCTACCTAGAAGGAAGACTCACTCCCTTCTCCCTAGTTTGGTCTGAATGACAGGGACGCCTGCCCTTCAGCCCTCTCACCTCCGGGAATAGTCTACTCACTCAACCCTTCTTTATATTATGGGTAATCAACCCTTATTATGGGTAATCAACCATCTGCCCTGCCTAAGCGCTCCCCCTTAGGTTGCCTTCTAAAAAAATATCAATCATCTTGGCCTTGCGCCTGACATTATGCCCAGCGACTCATCTTTTACTGCAACACAGCCCCAGTACAAGCTCTATGAGTCCTTGTGGCCTGAAAATGTAACTTTTAATTTCAATATTCTTACTGATCTGAATAATTACTGTCACCGCACCAAGAAGTGGCTGGAGGTTCCCTACATCCAGGCCTTCTTTCTTATTCAAAATCACCCCCTCTCTGTCAGTCTGGCATGCTATATTAAGTCTTTCTATTTCATTCTCTCTCAGCACTCTCCTAAATCCCCTTTGGCGTTGTCCCTTCCTGAGGCAATTCCTCTAGATTCCGCCAATCACTCTTCTCCAAGACCCAGTGCACCTCCCCCAGGACCTCTCCCACGTCCTTGCCTTATGAAGGCCAGCCTCAAGCCCCAGATGAACCCAGGGAATCCCAATCCTCTCTCTCCTCCCCATACCCAATCTCATTCCCACCTACAGGCTCCAGCCCCTCTTTTGCCTCTTGGAGAAGTGGCGGGTGCTGAGGGTATAGTGAGGGTCACGTTCCCTTTTCTATGGCCGACCTCTCTCAGATGGAATCTAGGGTCTTACGCCACCGACAGCACAGCTTATACTAAGGAATGTGAATATGTCACCCGTCCTACGACCTCACCTGTCATGACACTTATATAATTCTAACTTCTTCCTTGACCCCTGAGAAAAAAGAACGAGTTTGGCTGGTGGCCCAAGCCCATGCCAATGAGCTTCATCTCCAGGATAATACAAAACCCACTGGAACTGAAGTTGTTCCCAGAGAGGACCCTCAATGGAATTATCAATTTCCACATGACTTCCCAGACAGACGATCCTGTAGCCATATGATTACGTGCCTCAGAGCAGGCCTTAAAAAGGCTGGGAACAAAGCCATCAATTATGATAAAATTAAAGAAATTACACAGGATCCCAATGAAAATCCAGCCCTCTTTCCACCCGCCTTAATCTGACCTCACCAGAGGGAACTCTCCTGCTTAACGTGCATTTTATTTCCCAATTGGCCCCTGACATTTGCAGAGAACTTCAGAAACTGGACACATGCCCACAGACCCCCCAAAGAGAATTGCTTAACACTGCCTTCAAAGTTTTCAATAATAGAGACAAGGAGCAAAAATTAGAAGAAAAAAAAAAAGTGGGACCAGGCTAAGGCTGAGGCACAGCGGGAGGCCTTTCAGCTCCTGGCTACTGCCCTCCAAGGCTCTGTGAAGCATGGCACAAATCCTAGAGGGAAGGCAAGTGCAATGCCTCTTCTGGGGCCCTGCTTTAAATGGAAGAAAGGAGGGCATTGGGCC